AGAGAGAGAGAGAGAGAGAGAGAGAGAGAGAGAGAGAGAGAGAGAGAGAGAGAGAGAGAGAGAGAGAGAGAGAGAGAGATGCTAGAGCATCGCCCTTCTGCCTCATCCACTCGGGCAGAATCTGGAACCAAAAAATAATGAAAAGGAAGAAAAAGGAGTAGAAGAAAGAAACACGAAAAACACAGAAGCGGTGTCTGGACTCTGGCACAATCACATTAGTTTGTAGAGGAATCACAAAAAGCAAGCAGTGGGGGGGAAGGTCAGTGGCTCTGTCTCACCTGCATCATCTCCGACATCTTTTTCTCCTCTTTCTGTGTTTCGATGGCATCCCTCAGTATGGACATCTTGTCGGCGGCCTCCTTCAAGATGTGTTCGATTTCGCTCTCGTACTGGCCTGCGACGTCCTGCAGCTCAAAATCCTGTTCCTCTGCTTTGTTGTTCAAGTGATGAATAACCTTCGTCAGCTGCGCAATTTTCTTCTTCATCTTATACTTCATGTCAGGGAGTTGGCATTCCAGCCAGCCTGCAGATACGACCGGTTGGCTGAAATTGGACGCAAAACTTGACGCAAAATTCGGCCCAAAGGGGTCGCTTGACCCCATGTAACTGCTGTCCATGATGATGGAAGTGATGAGTCGGATGCGCCTGAACTTTCTGATTAAAGCCGCACCAGATGACTTTGGAAGTACTCACCGGAACATGGGGCGGGAAGTACACAGGTCGTAAGGCCCGCCACTGACAGTAGGGTCTTTCTTTTAACCAGTCAAAGGGCCCATAACCAGCTTTAACCTGGGTTAATGACAGCTAAGTGACTGGCATTAACCATAAATAACCACAGGTTAGTTACTGGGCTTACCCAGCGTTAACAACCGTCACTTTAACTGCCGTCAACTACAGGTTAGTAACAGATGTTAACAACCGGTTCGTAACCGTCACTAACCACAAGTCGGTAACCGTCACTTTGTCCCGTCAACTACAGGTTAGTAACAGATGTTAACAACCGGTTCGTAACCGTCACTAACCACAAGTCGGTAACCGTCACTTTAACCGCCGTAACTACAGGTTAGTAACAGATGTTAACAACCGGTTCGTAACCGTCACTAACCACAAGTCGGTAACCGTCATTTAAACCGCCGTAACTACAGGTTAGTAACAGATGTTAACAACCGGTTCGTAACCGTCACTAACCACAAGTCAGTAACTGGCATTTACCGCCGTCAACGACAGGTTAGTAACAGATGTTAACAACCAGTTCGTAACCGTCACTAACCACAAGTCAGTAACTGGCATTTACCACCGTCAACCACAGTTTAGTAATAGATGTTAACCACAGGAGGTTAAAAAGCAACTTGCAATAACCACAGGATAGAAACTTGAGCTAACCAGTTTTTACCACAGGTTACTGACTGCAATTAACCCGCATTAACCACAGGTTAGGAACTGGCGTTAACTGATTGCCTTTCCAACCAACCGTAGGTTCAGATGTACTAGAGTTTCCTGTACTACTGCAGTATGCAGGTTGAGACTCTTGAGAGTCCATGAGGACACTCATCAAAAGCGAACGTCCAGACCTTGAGAAAAGTGACAATCTGGATAGTCTGGAAAAAAAAATTCAAAAAAAATTATGCCATCGGCCTGTCACAATGCAGGTTGGTCTTTGAGGCCCTACGTAGTCATGAAGGCATTCGCCAGCTAGCTTGGTTGCGCCACTGACAGAATAGAGCCTCAACCAGCATGAACCAGCACTATCACACGTTAGTAGAACTTGGTAGCTAAGGTCACCCTTGCCGTTGGCAGGAGGCGGTGTACACGCACTCACAAGTAGCTAGCTCATGGGCCCACTGAAACAATCACAGCTTTAACCAGTGTTAAATACAGGTTAGCAACTTAGCAGTAATTTGGCCTTGAGGTTTCGATTTGGGAGACGGAAACGGACGGACGCACTTACCGCTAGCAGATGGTACCACTAGTCACTGACAGAATCAGCCTTAACCAGCATCAGTAACAGAGGAAAGCCTTAAGCTTCAATCGACTCATTGGTTTAGTCCTTGACAGCCACTCACTGTTTGGCAGGAGGAAAGCCTTAACCAGCGTCATGAACAGAGGAAAGCCTTAATCAGCATCACTACCAAACCGAGGAAGGGGAGATATTCACAGCTAGCTAGCTGATGGCGCTACTGACAGAATCAGCCTTAACCAGCGTTAACTACAGGTTAGCAATAGTTCGTACTTGAGGCCATTCTCACCGTTGGGCAGAGGAGGAAAGCGTTAGCTTGCGTCAACTCATTGGCTCAGCCGGCTTCTTCTCGACAGAGATGCCCAACCTCAGGATTGACTTCAGCTTGAACTCAGATTATCCTGCCAGACTGGCCCTCTTCAGCCCAAGGTACCCTTTTGTCCCGATATTGAAGCCGGTTTCCAGAGGTCGCTGCCACCTCTGCCTTCACCAAGGAGTCCCTAGAGGAGATTCGCATGTACGACAACTGAGGCTTTGCGACAATGACTGGCAGAAGACTTCGCCCCTACTTGAGTTGATCACAATATATATAACTTCAGCTCACCCCACCAGCTGGAGGGCAGACACTTTTTTAAGGATGGGGGGAGGGGGCCGGGGGGGGGTGATAGCCCCGAAGATTATTGCATTCGCCCTGATTCCAGGTGAACTCGAGATCTGTTTAACAACAGTTATATGTGTTTACCATTCAGCCACATGGGGTGGGTAGCTTGAAGGCAGACTTAACCAGAAGTAACTCGCAGTTTAAGTGGGGCTGGCGTCAGTGAACGGGAGACTTAACCTGCAGTAACTCGTATGCTAATCATCCGAAGCCACAGGTTAGCTAGATCGACTCGCAGGATTAACTGCGGTAACTTTCAGATTCATAAGCCGGAACAAACTCACAAGTCAGCTGCGGTAACTCACGAGCTATCTCTTAGCTGCTTCCGCTGATGACAAGCGACTCAAGCCAAATTGCTGCTGCTACTTCGAATATCAACATAGTTCTACTTGAGAAAGAGAAAATAAAAAGGCTTTCAAGTTTGAACACTACTCTGCAATCACTGCTAGTAATAAGACGTGTGTCAGAGGAGAATCAGCTGCACCTTGCATACACACGTCTGTCCGTGGTACTGACCTGCAGAATCACTGTGTTGCAGGCCAAAGCAGAGATTTATCCCTCCACAATCGCACAGTGGTACTGACCTGCATCCGCAACGACTGCCATCGCAAGGGGACCACCCTGTGACTGTCCAGCAGAATCACTGCGGTAACTTTGAGTTACTGCAGGGTCAAGGCAGATTTATACCTCCACAATCGCACAGCTCGAGATCGGCCATCACCGGACATTAATGGAAGACAGTTTCTTCGTCAATGCAAGAAGACCAAATGCTCTGCTAGCCGCACCGCCGTAGATCAACTTTCAAAGAACAAAATTAAAACAAACTCGAACGCACACAAACTTCACAGAGTCAATTTGACTTTTTTTTTTTTTTTTTTACTTTTATTTACGACTGATCGAGAGGTCAATGGGTGATTGAAGACTGACTGCCACTGCAAGCCACTAGCTGCTGCAGCCAACCCCAGATCAAAATGCTGCTACAAAATAACACAGAGAAGTAGAAATCAAGTCAAAGTTTATATTACTTTATAACAAGTAAATAAAAAATGACCCCGGCTTCTGCGATTCAAGCTGAACTGCTGCTGCATGCCAGGACACAGGCCAGCTGGACTCTATTTAAAAATAAAAATAAAAAAATCAATTGACTAGCGCTCGATTTGGCATTGACAGACGTGCTGCAAGCTAGCGGAATGCAAGCTATCCTGAGCTTTTTTCCGTTTTTTTAACTTTTTTTTTTTTTTTTTTTTTTTTTTTTTTTTT